ATAATCTAACTTTTAGTCTAGTATTATTTATTACTAAACGTTAAAATCCTAGTGTTCACCCAATCATTTCTCAGAGGTAGGGCCAGTGAGCTGGGAGAGGGGAATAAGAGTCATTATTTGAATGGACATTAACCTGGCGACTGTATTTCTCTTAAATGTTAATTGTGTGATCATACCATCATAAATTTTAGATGTTATTTTTACTACAACATAGGTATTGTGTCGGAAAAATTAGGTTTGGGAGTCGGGCCAGTCTCTATTGGAATTATCCCATGTTCTGTTGTTCCATTTACAGATTTCACTTTCCACTACCCTGTGGGTTCAATTAACCACGTAATCGGGTACTACTGTACTGGGTGTCCCCGACTTCTAGAGCGTTCAAATTTAATGCCCGCTGATCTGAACAGGGTTAAACTTAAAATTTACAGTATTTTATTTACCTGATGACTTATTCTTTTGTCTTCAATTAAGTGATCTTTATGTGTATAAGAACTTAGGCTATGTTATATTGGGATTTTAACCACTGTTCAGCAAGCACAGTTTCTCCTCGACTTCGACGGGGTTCCGTCCACGACCAGGTAAATGCGTCGAATTAATTCATGTCACCGAAAAAGGCAAAATAATACATAGAAATTCTAAAATGGGTGTCTCTTTTCTTCTCAGCACCTGAGCTCTCACTTTTCGCTGCAGCCATTTTAAAGGAATTACAAATGAAAATTTTGTCAGTACACGGCACAATCACTAACGTCTGGACCTCGAAATCGTTATGTGAAAAATATTTTATACGACCATGGCCGTAGTATGTCCCGAAGTTGTTGAAGGCAATATATGATGAAAGTCGAGGAAGACTGCACAGTATGCACATAGCATGTGTTCCACCACGATGCAAAACCGACTGAAGAAATGTCCTCAGGAACGAACCAGTTACAACCGAGGAACCTCTGTATTTGAAACCTCTACATAAGACAGCCAAGAAAGTTTGCAAACCCAATAGACGATTCACAACTGCTTCATTTCTACACTAGAGTTGAGACCAATCCCAAATGACCGCGATTTTCTATACTGAAATGTTTCCAGTTAATGTAGTCTCCATGTATAATAGAAAATATGAGGAGCCCATGTGCATTCAGCTGACTAACATTAAAGGTAAGTGCTCAAATCACTATCCATTCCTCATTATTTATTACTTTCACTGTACTGTATCCATTCCTCATTATTTATTACTTTTACTGTACTATATTTCATTGTAGATTTTTATTTATTTTATTTTTTTTTATGTCGGACTTCGACCATTAGGACTTCTTACCTGGATTTGTCCCCTAACCCCGCCGTAAGTCGGGTCTAGCTATTCAGATAAGTTGTTATTGTTTTAAAATCTGGGTAAAGTTTGAATTGATTAGATCTCACAGGCTGTTCATTTCTGTCCTGGTTGTCATTAAATTATATGGCTGAAGGTAATTCAACCATATGAGACTGACAAGTTTTCTACTTGTATCCTGAATTCTTACTGGTCAAATGAAACAAGCATTGGATTGGGGGTTCTTCAGAATCCTGATTCAACTGTCCTGCTAAATAACACAAGCCCATTACAGTAGTTCTGCTATACTTAAATTTGTGTTCTTGTAAAAATATCGTGTTATAGAAAATAAGTAATAAAATAACAGGGTTTATGGAGAAAATAGGGTTAGGTGCAGATTACTCCAAATCGAAAAAAATTTAGTAGTTAGCTAACACAAAGGATGCTAAAGTCTAAATAAATGTTACATTCATATCTAATAATGAAATCATAGTAAATTTAACACTTTACCTTGAAAAAATATGGATGTAACTTGATGGGGAGAAGGGTGATTTTGAGGTTGATAACATCGAGCTTCTCTTCAAGTGTTATATCCTTTCTTTTCGATAATCACGGGAATTCTATCATCAGAACGCTTTTTGGAGATATTCTTCTTCCATATTCACAGTTAATACCACAAAATTGGAGAAATAGTAAGCAAAAATCGCGTTATAGCAAACAAAGCGTTAAGCGTATACAAATATTGTTCGAATTCAAAATCGCGTTAGAGCAAATTAGCGTTATCAAAACAGCGTTATATAGCAGAACTCATTGTACAATGACGAAGACTCAGTCAAGGGTGTGTTTAATGGTGGTGGATTTCAAAGATGAATGACTGAGTATTTGTAATGGTTAAAATTACTTCGAAATCCCAAAAAGATTAAACATGCATAACAAAAGCCTCATCACATGTTTCCTGATTCCCAATCCTATAAAATTTAAAAATTCAAACTCAAATCATTTTAATAGAATTGGGTACTGAAATGAAGTGAACTGCATGACTCAAACACATTATATTTGTTACAAATCTGTGGTTGCTCATTACAAAAACAAAATCACAAATTAATTTTACCTGCATTAGGTTTTGTATTCACTGTTTGAAAGCCGAGATGGTGTTAGATATGGGTATGCCACCACTGTAAATCCAACACATGTAGCTAGATCTAGAAAAAATTCAGATGATTATGAATCATACATAAAACATTTAACAAACACTAATATAGTAGGAAGCATATTTAATTGCACTGTACAGAATAAGGAATATACTGTATGATTAAAAGGAATAATGAAACAGAAATACATTAATACAGGATATAATGAAACAAATACTTTATGTAGGAGTAAAGATATTTGTTTTAGCTCATAAAATTCATACAAATTACCCGGCAGAATATAATTTACATTGCTGGAATTCTTACAATTTGATGATCATTTTGAATATAAACATCATAGATTTTGCATTAGACATACAAATTTTAGATATAATGTTTACTCTGAATAAATATGTTATCTTTTTGTGCAAAATATATGACATTTGTATTCAAAATATTCCCAGTTACAAGAAATCTAGCAATGTCAATTATATTATCTAACTTTAGTTTGAGGTATTATTTATTACTATACCTGCTTTTCCCCAAATATTTCTCAGAGAGGAAGAGCCAGGAGTGTAGTGTGTGAGAAGAGGGAGGGTAGTTCCATTATTTGGAATGGACATTAACTCAGCAACTGTATTTCTCTATTTCTCTTAAGTATTAATAGTGTGCATGTACCATCATAAAATTAAGATGTTATTTTTACTAGAACATAGGTATTGTGTTGGAAAAAGTGAGTTTGGGGAATCAGCTTGGTCTCTTATTTCATTTAATCCCATATGTTATGTTATTCACTTTACTTAGCTTTCTCACTTTCTGAGGTACCCTGTAGGTACATTAACACAGTAAAGTGAGGATTTAACTGTATATACATTTGGTCTAAGTTTATGACCTTACTTGACCTGACCTGTTGTTATGTCACCCATTTTGTTATACCTTTTGTTTGCAATGGAGATGGTGTGTGGATTAATGGATTCCATGATATCGATCTGACCTGATGTTATGTAAGTCACCCATTGTATATACCGTAATAGTCTACAACCCCCCTCGTTTATAGGTCTACCTGATTTTTACCAAGAAATCATTAATTTATGATATTCCTCGCTTATAGTTAGACCGTTTTTGAAAGTAATGGAACAACAAATCTTCCAAAAATGCTCGTCCTATAAACTGAGGTTTCGCGCCACCTGAAACACAGTGCAAGCAAATTGTTTACCACTTATTATTACGACACTTTACACTGAAACGCGGGTAGTTTCAAAATAATGGCATAACATTCAAATAATTATTCAAGTCAATTACGGTAACATCTTTGAACAGAAAGCGAAAGTCATTGTTTTAGCCACGATTTCTATCCCACTTTCCACTGTATTGACATAATTTCAGCAAAATATTACATTTCCGTGAATGCATTATATCAAGCACAGTATGAACAGAATACCATTGAAATAACAACTATTTTTAACCAAAACTATTAAAAACGAGTAATCTCTTCGAACATGGGAAGGTTAGGTAAAATCTTTTGTTTTTAGTCATGTATTTTATCCTATTTTTACATTGAAATACATCCAAGTTTCAGTAAAACTACCATTTATTTCCGAGAATATATTCATTCAGGCACAGTTAAGGTAAATATACATGTGATAAACAGTTTTTAACTGAAAACGATTCGAAAAAACACGGTACCCACTCTAGCCCTGTTCAAGGAAGACTGGGAGGAGCTGTTTGGTACTTAAAGAGACGATAACAGAAAATGATTTTGATGGATTTTAATGAAAATATTCAGAAAGACACCTGGCACAATAAAGGAAAGTGGCTGCTGAAGGCTTCGAGGACAGTGGCGAGGTGAGGAGCTAATTGAAAACACGACATGAGGCTGACCGAGGAGGATCTACAGGGGTTAGTAGACTCAGGCAAGGAAGAGGCAGGGAGAGGATGAGGAAGAGCACCAAGAAATAACGTTGGAGAAGTTGGGGGAGATGACCAGGATATTGAGGCACTGAAAAACCTGGCCTATAGTATGGACCCCTCCATGGTGAGTGCCCTGAAATTCATCTGAGGATGGATGACGTTTTGCATCCATAAAACATCATGGAAGGAATGAATGAAAGAAGCGACAACTCCCCGTACCGTCTTTGATCACCGAGAAGGAGAGATTTAACACCAATGCTGGCAGTGGGGAAGCAGCTGAATTACCATACGCCCCCACTTCACCACCAGTTATGGAATTGGTGACGATGAAACCCGATGACCCCGTTCTGTCGCCGAGATAGGAACTGTACAGTAAAGTGAAGTTTTTATCTCTTTTTTTTAAAAGCTTTTCTTTTACTACATACATTTTTTGATACGCAAAATGTACAACACAGTACAGTTCAGTACTGTACATAGGAAGTGGAGGTGCAGTTATTCACAAAACATTTATGACTTTGTTGTAGCCGACGGTATTATGGTGAGGAGGTGGAGGCCGGAGGGGCGAGTTGGGAAGAGTGGTGACCTGGGCCCAGGGGCAGGGGCGGAGATGCCAGCAGTACATTACGGGTGCTATCAATTGTTTTATAGCTATTTTGCATTTTATAGCCAAATACTCTAGAACTACGTTTTGTTACGAACCCGCCCAGTATATGATCTACCTACCCAGCACCACGACATAACGCCATCTAGGGACAAACCCAAGTATGACTACTCCAAGTTACCACTCGGGGTTTCCCTTCTCCATATCCTGAGTTGTTCAAGTACTCTCAAAGTACTTCTCGTCAGCTCCAGTTGATGAGTTCAGTTCACTCTGAAGTGACCACAGGATCACCTATCCTGGAAACCTCTGGCAAGTGACTACCCGTGCTACAATACTCAGCCTTACTGGTACGGCCATCTCAGCTCCGCACTTAGTATTTGTAATCTTATATTGCCTCCCCCGTCCACATATAGCAATGTTGTATGTTGTATAAATATGTAAATACTCTTAATGTTTGGTAGTATAGTTAAGGGTATATAGAAAGCTGAATATTTTGTTAAGGAATGATTGCACTTATTATACACAACAAAAACTACGCATCCTTTGTCTACCTTTATAGTCCGGTTGTAACTGTTTTTGTTATTGTAGCCTGTTGGGATCTAGGTAGACTTTTAACTATATTCATCCCCAACTCGCAACAAATGGCGACGTGACAGGACCTGACCTTAAATACCATACTTCCTTCCTCCATATAAACTCCTTGTTATTATTCCTCCAGTCACTTCTATTCACAATTACTTCCACGGTGGTTTAAAGTTTCCTTCATATGCGTATGCATATATTGGCATTATCGTACAGTAAGAGTGACAGGCATTAGTAATTAGTTCAGTGTCATAAGGCTTACACCATTTATACATTGGCAGATGAATCAATAGAAAGCTATTAGAGTCTGGGAGAATCCCGGAAGTGTTTAATGGCCTCACTCACAGAAGTGGCTGTTCCATAGACATAGTTTAGGGTGAAGTGATATCTTGGGATGCCCGCTCTACCAGGACCCCACAAACTAAAGCCTCAATATTGTTCTTCTCATTATCTCATTCGGTCCAATAATCCAAGTAACTCAAATTTGTTAATCCGGATCTTTATATTAATGCGTAACACGCCCTTCCTGTTTACTCAAGGGTTGTTAATAACGGATCTTTATATTAATGCGTAACACCTTCCCTGTTTACTCAAGGTTGTTAATCGGATCTTTATATTAATGCCCATAATACACCCTTCCTGTTTACTCAGGGTTGTTAATCCGGATCTTTATTTAATGCCGTATCGCCTTCTCTTTAAAGTCTCTTATCCTTATTTAAGATATTATCAGAAGAACAATATTCGCAAGTGTAATTTCCTAGGTATAACTTGGGTAGTTTCGGGACTCTCTGGTTATCCACTGCCGTGATATTTTCTGGGTAATCCACTATCTTATCTTTTGACCGATAATTTATCTACTGTAGGTTTACTAAGTAGCGCACCTCAGGATTTGTTAGCTTGGTAGTCCTGGAAGTGGAAGAGCAAGATACCAAATTACATCTTGAAGCATGTGGAGGCGTGGAGAGGTTAATTTAGAGGCGCGTGGCTGAGCGCTGGCTGATCATGTCGCCTTGCTGGTGGAGTCACTGTGCAGTAGGGAACGTGGCACTTTCCGACTATATTAGGTCCTCCTCTGATGATAACCTTGAGGGCGTGAGTGGTAGGTCGAAAGGTCCACACCTACCCCTGATGCAACTAAGTTTATTGTTCTTACTGTATAAACCCAGGCCATACAAGTTCAGTCTTGTAAACACCCAAAGTGTCGAACTGCTAAAAGTAGTTCCCTGGATCCAAATCAAGACCATGCAATGTGAAGAGGCCCATCAGGATCTCTTCTCTTCACATTCACCTATGAGGAAAAATTTCAATCATAGAGTCTCATTCTTTCTATTCGTATACTTAATGCAGGAACAGCACAATCTATCTTCCTGTTTAGCGTCATTCCTGATATATCTACCGCATTACAATAGGGAGTGTTCTCAATTTCAGAATCTCTCATCCCTTCTACCTATCCCTTAGCTAAAGTGCACCTCAAATGTCCCTTGATTACTGGGGAAGTGCAAATAGCCATTAGGAAAAAGATCCAATGCCTGTGGCATTCATTTATTATTAAGGTAATGGCTTTGCAGGGAATCTAGTGGTTCCCAACATAAGACAGTCGACTCTCCCTTACATCGACTCTCCATACCTGTCAACTCCACCACTGACCTTAAAAAACTATTCCTCACCTTTTTCCCATCTTGTGCTGTCACCGGTCAGAGTTTCGAAATGGGCCCTCTTCATCTAAACCACCTCCAATATCTTCCCTACCCACAGACGATCTGTACAATAAGACCATTAGTAAGGATGAGCTCATTTAAACCCAACAATCTGATCCATCTGTGTTCAAACAGGTGATGAAAAGACCTCTCGTGGACCATTGTACATCTTCAGCTTACCCCACCGTCCACAAGGTTGCTTGAGCAGTTCCATCAAAAACTTTCAAATCAATACTAATAAACTATCTCCCTCAACTATATAGTCCATACTCCATCGACGAA